TAAATTCGTAATGTCCATTTTCTACATTGAAAGCTGTTTTGCTTATTGAGTTTGGATCCATTTCAACTTGGTGGAATCCAGAAGCTAAGTCTAGAGTAGTAAAATAATTACTTCTTCCAAGTCTGTCAAGAATGTCTGTTATGTTTGGTAATGGGTATCGATCGTCTATTGTTTTTTCATTGATTTTTCTATAATCTACGACCATTCGCCATTTCTTTATGCCTGAAGCATCTAACTTTTTAGGTACAATCCAGACAGGGGATGACCAGGGACTACATGATGGTCGAATAATGTTATCTTCTAACATTTTCTGGATTTGTTTATTCACTTCTTGTTTATGAATATGTGGGTATCTATACGTTTTTGTGTGAACTGGGATTTCGTCTTTGGTCTTAATTTCGTGTTTAACTTGATTTGTGAATGATAATTTACCATTGGGTTTATGAAAGACTCTAGGAAACGAATTTACAAGTTTTTGTAAAGCTTTTACTTCTTCTGAGTTTAAATGATCAGTTCTTAAAAGGTTTAGGGACGTTTTTTTATAAAGTTTGTCTTTATAGTCATTAGTGTTTTGGGTAATTATCTGTTCTGCGTTAAACAATTGATAATTCTCTTCTTCAAAAGGTTCACATATTTCTTGAATATCATCAATATGACAATCTAATGTGAGGATTTTGTCTTTTAAATTATAAACATCAAGTGGTATTTTACCATTTTTAATTGTATTTATAGTTGATGGAATATAATATTTTTCATCTACTACAATGTCAGTTATTATTTTAGTTCCGTCTGGAATTCTTGTGAGAAATTCACATTTTTGAACTGTGTTAGGGGAAATTTCGATAGTTTGATTTTCAAAGTCACTTCTAAATTGAAATGGTATACATGTTTGATCATTTACAAGACACATATTTTCAAAATCGATATTAAGTTTGTTATCATATAGAGCTTTGATTCCTATAATTCCATCGAAATAATCATGAAATGAATACATGAGCATTTCTACTTCATTTATGTCATATTCTTGTAAAATTGGAATTTTAAGTTTCTCTTTAATTATTGTGGTTGTTCCCGTACATGTGGAAAGTTTAGATTTTGTATTAGTTATGTACTGATTAAAGTATTCTTCAGCTATGGAAGGTCTTATTAGTGAGGCATGACTTCCGGTATCAATTAATAATTTACAAGGTGGAAATTGAATTTCTATAAAAGGTAATTGATTAATTTGGAATTTATTTAAAGTTAATGCTGATCCGAGGCTTTTAAACAAAAATTTTCGGATTCATCAATTTGTTGTTCATCAGGATTTTCAAAATCTTGATATTCATATTCACTTTGATTTTCTTGGTTTTCACTAGAAGAAACGTCAATTTCTTCTTCAAAATTTCCATTTTCTGAAAAATCTTGTTCAACTGGAATTAATTGTAAAATATTATTTTCTTCTTTAATTGTGTATTGAACAGGTCTTTTTTGCGAGGTTGCACTGAAATTCCGGACATAGGTGTCGGTTTTGGAAATTGTTGGTTTGTATTTTTCTTAAATACATTGGATTGTTTATTATAGTTTTTTCCAAAAGTTTGTGAACTAGTTGGGAATTTCTGTTGATAATTCGCTCTTGGCTGAATATTTATAGGTTGTGAGGGAAATTGTGATTGTTGAAATTGTTTCTGTGGAAACTGTGTTTGCACAAATTGTCTTTGAGGGAATTGTGTTTTCTGTTTTGAATTAGTGTATGAAGTGTGTGTATTATTATTTTTATTAATTGAATTATTAAATTTCATATGGTTTTCAGCTAATTGATAATTTAATACGCAACCTGCAGCTGCATCTAAAGTTAGTGGATTTTGCACCATTAAAATTGTTCTTAATTCAACAGGAGAGTTTGTGACTAAATTTTGGATTGCCATTATTTCATTTTGGTCTACCAAAACATTTGCTACTGCAACTAAATTTTGATCACTCATTATCTTAGAAGTTATTCTATGATTTAAACTTTTTAATCTCTCTAAATAATCAAAAATATTCTCTTTAATATTTCGAGTGGTATACATTAATTCTTGTACTAAGTTTTGTCTAGAATATGGGTCTCCATATTTTAATCTTAAAGCGTTCTTTATATCAATCCATGATTTTAAGTCAGGACGTGACATAAGGAAGTTTCCTGCTTCATTGATTAATTTTGATTTAATCGCTGTTATAGCATATTCTTTCTGTGCATTTTCGCCAGTATAATATGTAGTATAAAATTCTTCGATATTACTAATAAAATATTCTAAGTATTGTTTTTCGCCACCAAAAGGCTTAAGTAATTGTACAATAGATTTCAAATTCTCACCCATGGTTCTTGGTTGATGATTATTATTTCTTAACGAATTATTAGTACTTGGATTATATAAATGAGTTAAGTTAAATTGGGTTAAGAGGTTCTGTATTTCCTCTTCAGAATCTGACATGTATTTTTTTAATTATATGCTCATTTATAGATAGAAAAATAAAAAATACTTTCTCTAAAAATTTAATTTTTCTGAAAATTAAAAAATTGGAAAAAAATTATTTATAATTGAAAATAAAGAATAGTTTTCTCAAACAAAATCTATTATTATTATTTTTTTTGAAAATTAAAAATCAAAAAAATTCAAAAATTCAAAAAAAATTCAAAAATTCAAAATTGAGTGTATCTAATACCCAATTCATAATTTATGGAAATAAATCGTAATTGATATTTTTTCCTACATTAAAAATTTAAAATGAACTAAGTATTCAGTTATCAATTATATTTTAAAAATGAATTATTTAGTTATCAATTATATTTTTCTTTCAAATTACGTAATAATTTAGTCGTTAATTATATTTTTAAAATTAAATTCTACTTTAAAAATTATTTATTTAATATAAAAGTTTACTTTCTTTAAATTAAAACTAGAAAAAATTCAAAATTAGAATTTTTATGTTTCGCTTAAAATTAAAAATCAAAAAAAATCAGAAATTTAATTTTCTTCTTTAAAGATTCAAAATTAAAAATGAAATTCTATACATTTTTTTCTTTAGGAATTCAAAATTGAAGCCTTTTAATCAATTATTCAGTTATTTGAAAGTTAAAGTTGGAAAAATAAAAAATTGGAAATTTTATTTTTTCTCAAAAAATCAAAAAATTAAAGGTTTCAATTTATTATTCAGTTTCTTGAAAATAAAAATAAAAAAAATTGGAAATTTTATTTTTTTTCCTTGAAAAATTTTCTAAGTCTAAAATCAATCAGTTTTTCGAAAATTGAAAATAAAATATGAAAAATTGGAATTTTTTTTCTCTAAAACATTTAGAAATGAATGTTTTTAATTAATTTTTCAGTTTCCTGAAGCTTAAAAACTAAAAATTGGAAGTTTATTTTTTTCGTAAAAAATCAAAAATTAAAGTCTTAAATTTATTATTTAGTTTCGTAGGTTACTTGCTTAAAATTATTTTATTTGTATTTGGTCTCAATGCCAAAACAAATTGAAATTGAAAAATTTTTTATGATAAAAAAACTCAAAAAAAAAGAAATTTTTCAAAAGAACTTAATTATGAAACACCAATTACAAAATACAAATTATAGGAAAAAGGGATTACTTACAAGGCACGATGCTCGAAACTGTAACACTTTTAACTTTGTACGTTGATCTTGTTGCTTCTTTTCTTCAGTTAATTTTTTCAAAAAGTGGAACGAATTGGATTAAACTTTTTCGAAAATTCAATCTCTGGACTCTATAGCACTCTGAAGAACATCCTACCGACTGCGCCAATTATATTTTCGATTCAGAAACTTGTATTTTTAAACAACATTTATTTTATTAATTAAAATACAATAGTGACAATCGGAAAATATGTGGATCAAATTGCTACAGGGAGTGCCTGAAAACAAATGAACGCTCCTTACTGGAAAGCTCTGGCTTAAATAATAAATATTTGCTGATCCAAGCATTTTCCAATACAGGTGGCGGTACTACCAGTGCAGTACCGCTGATTAAGCAGTTTTATATATTTATTAGTATTAACATAGGCGTACGCTAATAATTAACATAGGAAAGGAGAATTATTAGTATAAGGATAACATAGGGTCTTACAATATAACTTGTGCAACACATGGGAATTTTTTTTTAGTAATAGCACAAACAAAATATAAACAAGGCCAAAATTTGGTGCATGTCTGAATGTCTGATAATCATATTAGGTGCAGCTAGAATGGTTTCAAGTCAAACAGCATACAGGGTAGCTTAAAAAATAAATAATATAATAGATATTTACTTAAATAAAATAGAACTTTTGCAATTTAAGGAGAGTCTTTTCAATATGCATATTATCAATCAATAGTAATGTTTTAACTCGTTAAAAAAAAATTGTGACCTTTTAAAGTTGTGTTGAATATCGTTGCAACAAACATGAACTTTGTGGTTCTAGAAAAACTTGAAAATCTGAGTTAATTTCACAAATATGCTTGAATTTGAACAAAGTTATGTAAATTTATTTGTTTTCAATTAATTTTTGAAAGTATTAAGGGCGGAAATAAAAAATAAAACAAATATAGAAATTATTAATATTTTTCGAAAAAAAATAGAAAAAAATCTTAGGAGGCCATGTCTTGGTATTCAGGCATAACTTTTAATTCCTAACAACTTTTCTCAATAACATTTTGCTGAATTTTCTAAGATAAGGGATACAGTACACTTTTGATATTGTTTGAGCTACCCTGGATGCTGTTTCACTTGCAACCATTCTAAAAGCATCAAATATGATTTATCAGACATGCACCAACTCTTGGCCTTGTTTGCATTTGGGTTGTGCTATTACTAAAAAAAATCCCCATATGTTGCACACTTAAATAAACCACAATGTATAACGAAGCATTGGCAAATTGAAATAGGATTGTATTCACATTCACAACGGGACCCTGGCCCTTCAGTATATACATCTATACTTTAAAATGCAAATTAAAGAATCGTTTATACGATACAAAATACAAACTTACCTCAGGGGACCAAAATGTTTTTCTAGCGATTTTCTTGTATTAACACTAGCAACGTTGGCCAAAGAAAAAGCTCTGAGTTCCGGAAACTTTGCAAATGCAGCTTTCTAGAAGTACAGAAAAATAATATGTGAATACATATTTTTATTTTACTTAAATATTCCTGAATTTACCTGTAATGACGTTATTTTTTCATAGTGTAACTGTGTCATTTGATGGTCGTTCAACGGATCTCCAGTTTCGTCGTTAATTTCAAATCTAGTGTAGAATTTAAGCATGTCCAGTAGCTGAAAAGAACATAAACATTTTTTTATTAGTCATAAAATATAAAATTAGCATGTTTGCTATGTTAAATAAACAGACTAATAAACGTTTCGATTTTATAAAACCAAGTATTGGAGTATCCCAAAATAAATTTCTGAATTAATAATAATAGGCCACTTTCATATGCCAGGAATATGGAAAATTATGATATATTTTGACGCAGATATATGGATGCAACCGAGAATGAACAATATTTTGCAAGATTCAAGATTTCAAGTCAGATTATCAAATAAATTGATAATTAACAATAGCAAGGGGGCACTTGGGAGAGTGTAATTTCAAATTGGCGGGATGCTTAGTGTGTCGCACTAGCAGGGATGTTGAAATCAGGATTAGGGCTATCTGCTATATATAAGCAAATAAACAATCTACAATATGTTTTTCAGTAGACCTGGCCCCCCCCAGTTGATAATTTTTATCCAAAACGCTAGCCCTCGTTCTCCAGAGCTAGCGCAACCTAGCGCAACTTTTTCGAAAGCTAGCGCAGCTACAGGTCAAAAGATATGTGGCTTTATATTCGGGGGGGGGGGGCTAGGGTGACGCTAGCCCCCCCCCAGTTATTCGATCTTCTCAAAAATGCTGGCGCACATTCGTAACACCTAGCGCAAGTTGTGTCATAGCTAGCGCAGCTATCGTAGCTGTCATACAGGGTGGACAAAAAAAATCATGAGCCCCTACAAGTGATTTTTAATTTTTCAAAAATATATATGAAGCTTCCTTAAAGCTAGCGCAGGCTAGCGCAGGTAAAATTCGAGCAACCGCATTATCCCTTTAAAACATATACAGGTATTTATTCGGGGGGGGGGGGCTAGATCAACGCTAGCCCCCCCAGTTGTTAAATCCTTTTCAAAAGGCTAGCGCAAGTTCGTGACACCTAGCGCAGCCTAGCGCAGCTATCGTAGCTGTCATACAGGGTGGACAAAAAAAATCATGAGCCCCTACAAGTGATTTTGAATTTTTCAAAAATATATATGAAGCTTCCTTAAAGCTAGCGCAGGCTAGCGTAGGTAAAATTCGAGCAACCGCATTACCCCTTTAAAACATATACAGGTATTTATTCGGGGGGGTGGGGGGGGCTAGATCAACGCTAGCCCCCCCCCCCAGTTGTTAAATCCTTTTCAAAAGGCTAGCGCAAGTTCGTGACACCTAGCGCAGCCTAGCGCAAGTTGTGTCATAGCTAGCGCAGCTATCGTAGCTGTCATGCAGGGTGGACAAAAAAAATCATGAGCCCCTACAAGTGATTTTTAATTTTTCCAAAATATATATGAAGCTTCCTTAAAGCTAGCGCAGGCTAGCGCAGGTAAAATTCGAGCAACCGCATTACCCCTTTAAAACATACACACATACAGGTATTTATTCGGGAGGCGGCTAGAGTGCCGCTAGCCCCCCCCCCCCAGTTGTTAAATCCTTTCCAAAATGCTAGCGGAAGTTCTTGACACTTAGCGTAAGTTGTGTCGTAGCTAGCGCAGCTATAGTAAGTAAATGTTATACAAGGTGAACTATGAAATCTTACAAAATGTCGCCAGCTCCAAGACAAGATTTAACGTTTACAAGCGCTATCTATTCGCGAAGTTATACTTTTTTTTTATAGTCGGGCCGGAATCAGAACAAATCAGAAAACAGAAAACAGTGAAATTCAAACCTAATATGAGAAACACATACATGCCACCGCCTGGGATCACCACATGCATTCAACCAACGTAATTCTCAATTGGTGATAAAAAAAAGTACTAGCTCTTGCTTCACAAACCTGACAAACCCCACCGCCACCACCACTAAAAATGTCGACAATATTCAGTATCGATATATCGACGAACTAAATATCGATATGTCGTTGCCATCCCTAAACTCACTACAGTGACAATAAACCTAACACAGTGGCGACAATAGAGGTCCCGCCGCCACTTTGTGGCTTTCCTCTTGCTAATTTTAAATACGAATATATAGGATTTAAATGGACATTTATCATACAAAATTGAAAACAATGTATTTGATGACCATTATTAGGTATATCAAATACGTTGTTCTCAATTTGTTATGATCGATGCCCATAAATCGTATATATTCATATTCAAAATTAGCAAGAGTTACGCCACAAAGTGAACACAGTTCATTAATATGAACATATTATAGGATTTTAAAAAACCAATCATAAATAAGACTGCAATTATTGTCGCCACTGTGGTAATACAGTCACTGTACAACCCACTAGTTGCGCGCGCATCAAGGTTGAAAAAGATACCTACGTCAATTTTTTCATTTCTTTGTGAGGTTAAGTTTTAGTTACCTACTTCGCGAATAGATAGCGCTTGTAAACGTTAAATCTTGTCTTGGAGCTGGCGACATTTTGTAAGATTTCATAGTTCACCCTGTATAACATTTACTTACTATAGCTGCGCTAGCTACGACACAACTGACGCTAAGTGTCAAGAACTTCCGCTAGCATTTTGGAAAGGATTTAAAAACTGGGGGGGGGGGGGGGGGCTAGCGGCACTCTAGCCGCCTCCCGAATAAATACCTGTATGTGTGTATGTTTTAAAGGGGTAATGCGGTCGCTCGAATTTTACCTGCGCTAGCTTTAAGGAAGCTTCATATATATTTTTGAAAAATTAAAAATCACTTGTAGGGGTTCATGATTTTTTTTGTCCACCCTGTATGACAGCTACGATAGCTGCGCTAGCTATGACACAACTTGCGCTAGGCTGAGCTAGGTGTCACGAACTTGCGCTAGCCTTTTGAAAAGGATTTAACAACTGGGGGTGGGGGGGGGGCTAGCGTTGATCTAGCCCCCCCCCCCCCAAATAAATACCTGTATATGTTTTAAAGGGGTAATGCGGTTGCTCGAATTTTACCTGCGCTAGCTTTAAGGAAGCTTCATATATATTTTTGAAAAATCAAAAATCACTTGTAGGGGCTCATGATTTTTTTTGTCCACCCTGTATGACAGCTACGATAGTTGCGCTAGCTATGACACAACTTGCGCTAGGCTGCGCTAGGTGTTACGTATGTGCGCCAGCATTTTTGAGAAGATCGAATAACTGGGGGGGGGCTAGCGTCACCTTAGCCCCCCCCCCCCCGAATACAAAGCCACATATCTTTTGACCTGTAGCTGCGCTAGCTTTCGAAAAAGTTGCGCTAGGTTGCGCTAGCTCTGGAGAACGAGGGCTAGCGTTTTGGATAAAAATTATCAACTGGGGGGGGGGGCAGGTCTACTGAGCCTTAATAGCTAACTAATTTCACAAATTTTACGGGTTCACAAAACCCTTCAATGGACCATGGACTCTACCTGAACTTTACAAAATCACTTTTACTCAAACTTATACCACACCAAAAACGCGCTTTATATACGAAACCTGTCAAAACAGAAATCCCTAGAATTAACTTATCTCATGATATCTTGTTATTCGATGCACACTCAGTGTTGCCACAAGCTCTTTCTTTATTGGGGCAAATTACGGCAAGATAGCGGGGTAGAATAGAATCAGTGCGGGGTAGCTACAAAAATTTCCCCTACGAGCGTAAGGATAGTAACATTTTACCGCACACTGTGCGATAAACTTACTTTACCGCATAGTCTGCGGTAAAATAAACTGCAAAGTGTGCGGTATAGTTACTTCACCGCAAGCACTTTATTCCTTGCCGAACTCCGCTGCGTGTTGTTCGGCAAACTACAATTGCGTGCGGAAAAGTGGTACTTTCCGCACTAGTTAGGAAATATACTATTTCCGCATCATTTACCACACAAATTCAAAGGAGACACTGGAAGAATTTGGAAGAAATCTCTAAATGAGGTCATATCTTAGGCGTAGACAAAAAACTTGTTGCTAGGTACAGTTCAAATGAATATAAATTGCTTCTCATAATTTGGATTTTGGAAGTATTTTTAATTAGCGATAAGCAGAAGCATTATTTTTGTATTATACCATAGATTGTATATAGAGCGGGGTAGATTTAGTTGAGGGGAGCGGAAGGGCGAGAATGTTTTCAAAAGGGGTAGATCTACCCCGAACGGGGTAGCTTTGGCAACACTAGCACACCTGCACACAATGGAAACGATATCCTGTTACGAAAATTCTAGTACAAACGAAATAATTTTTTTTGGAAAAACTTGGAAAGTTAACAATCATGACAATTAACATTATTTTTTAATTAATTTGACTGAAATTTTAACTTATTTTTTGACTTTTTTCCTCTATAAAATGGTCGGACAATGTAGTCTTTTACATTCATGGTCTTGATTCTCTTCTACCCTTTTTTCTTCATTCTAATCTAAACTCAAAACTAAATTCAAATATTCTTTGTAGCATGATCTGACAGCCTAAATAATCGACCCCTGTAACATCTGAGCTAATTTGCCCCTGATGATGAGATTCTCTAATCTCGAAATATGTAGGGTTTTAATTTAATTTATTGAAGTATTCGTTGAGAAAGACTTTGAGTTTTTCTTTTGGAACTAAATTTTCACCTTCACTTTGAGATATGGACTACTTCAATTCAAACCTAAACTCACCTAGACATTTCCTACCATACTTCCATTTTCTGCATCATAAGATTTTTTTGGTTTATCATAAAAGTACCTATAAGTTCTCCAAGATGCCACATCTTTCTAGTTCTAGTAGTATAAACATTCACAGCTGTTGGATCAAATTCTAAATTCCGAACAAGAGTTAACAAGAGAGACCTATGATGACCTATTACAGTTTACGGAGGGAGTACCCAAGCAGACAGGATACGGATACTGGATGACAGAAAAAATGCTGGATTTTTTAAAAAATTATGATCATTGTTTGGTCGAACCAAAACCAAAAGAAAACCTATACTACTTGTTTTAAGATAAACAGATAAAGCGAGACCAATCCTATGACCCATCTTATTTAAAAACAAATAATATGTAATTGCAAACATGATGCCGATTTTTTAAACATTAGGCGTCATACTATACGAAATAATCCTGGTTTGTGTATTTTTAGTAACTAAAATTTTTAAACACACGAGGCAGAGGCCATCTGGAATAATAATATGCAAAGTCGGAGTCAATAAGAACGCATTTTTGTTGGGTTTTCGGGGTTTGTGGTGTGTTTGCAATTGAAATATCACCAATATTAATCAACTAAGCAGTAAGTTTTAAAACATTTATATAATTTTTTTCTAACGAGTAACTACTCGCCTAGTAGAAAATTTAGTTGTTAAAAGTTAAGAAAAGTCAGCTCAATATGTTCTTATATTAAGCTTCTTTCTTCTTTGAAAAATCATTTTACAACCATTATGAAATTCCTAAATACACAAAAAAGTAGAAATCCAGTCGTTTTAATCTTTGAGGAAGATATTTGACAGTAAGACCAAAATTTTAGATTTAAGAGTAATCGTTCCATTTTTCCTAGTTTTGTTTAATTTCAAATCAAATACATAGTTATTGAAGTTTATATTTGCCATTTTCAGCTATTCAAGACGAAATTTGATGGAAAAGGTGAAGGTATTGGTAGAAATCAAAATTATCTTACAACCGTGGTAGTTTTTTCGAAGTATTGATATATTGCGTCCGAATTGAATCTTACCCGGACTACATCTGAAGGTATTTTCTGTGAATAAACACTGACATTTTGGGCTATTTTAGTCAAATCGATCCTCTCGGGAATAATATGAAAATTTGAAACAAAAAACTGAACATTAAATCTATGCGAAGTTATTTGAATAAATTCAAATTATTGTTTTTTTGTGTGTCTATCCTATGCAAAATAATAATATTTATCATTCAAATTATTTCAAATTTAAATGAATGAGCATTTAAAGACAGATAATAGGCATCAGCCAGGAATGTACGATTTGCGATTCGCCATAGCCATGCACATTCAATTATGTATGACGCCTGCCGGCTCTGTAATGGGCAACTGCAAATTCAAGATTATGTATTCTAATTATTAGGTGCAATTCAACTTTACAATAAAACTGAAAATGTGTGTTGAAGATTCAGATTTTAAAAGTAAAATTTTGTGTCTTATTGCCTCAGATATTTTGAGCCAGTTGGCAAATAACCCTAAATAAATACATAATAGCAAGTAAACAAACTTAGCATGTTCGGTTAGCGGTTACCGGTTCATGCATTCTTAGTACCTACATGTCAAAGTCAATAGTTTCCTTCGAGTGATTTCCCCATTTTATAACAGGATAAATTGAACAAATATTTAGGTACAGGGTGGGCCAACTTGGACACTTTTATTAGGAAACGTCAATTTCTGAGCGAGATACAAAAAAATTAACCCCCCACTCTGAGGTTCAAATTTCATGAATTTTTGATTGGTGAAAACCGCATTTTGAGATCTTCAACCGTTTAGCCGCTAGAGGGCGATTCACTCGATTTTCAGCAATAAAGTGAAACCTCCATAACTTTTTTGTTTATGAAAATAATTGATTTCCGTAAAAACTTTCTTGAAGCAGAGTTCAGTGACATTCTCAATTTTTTTCTAGTTGGCACCAATTTCGAAATATTGACCAAAGTCCGGTTTTTTTCAATGGGACACCCTATATATTAATAGCTTATTGGAAAGTTCTGCTTTTGGTGATTTCAATGATATAAAGTTCGATAGGTTTATCTCGAACAGTTTTTGAGAAAAAAAAAATTTTGGTCTTTGTCATCAGAAAAAATGTGTTAGAACGAGACCTTTTTCATTTTCCTTACAGATAAAAAGTCCTTTTCTAACACATTGCTTCTTATGAGAAAAACCGAATTATTTTTTTTTTCTCGAAAACGGTTAGAGATAAGTCTACTGAACTTTGTATCATTGAAATCAGAAAAATTATAGCTTTTCAATGAGCTATTAATATAAAGGGTGTCCTTTTGAAAAAAATCAGACTTTGGCCAATATCTCAAAATCGGCGCTAAATAGAAAAAAAAACTGAGAACGTCACTAAATTCTGCTTAAAAAAGTGCTTCCAGAAAGTTTTTACGGAAATCAATTATTTTCATAAACAAAAAAGTTATGAAGGTTTCACAATATTGACAAAATTTCATGAAGTTTGAGCTTTAGATTGGGGGGTTCATTTTTTTGTATCTCGCTCAGAAATTGACGTTACCTATTAAAAGTGTCTAAATTGGCCCACCCTACAATTCGCAGCTCCGGAGAAACAATGTCATAAGTGCAAATTTTTCTAAAAATAAGATTATATTGTCAAAATATTCCAATACAGACAGCTACAAAGACAGATTTGTATTTTGAAATTCTGCCTCTAGATAGCGCATATGTCTTTGTGGAAATGGCGCGAATGTTGTCCGCTCCTAGAGCAAACAATGACCGATTTTTCACTTGTGCGCACAAACGTAAATATGACAAATAAATTTGTAATTCATTCCAAAGCAACTACGACAAAAATGTATTTTGAATCGGTTTTGCTTATTAAACCTGCGATATGAATGGACCAACAAAGACGCAAATGCATTTTATGTCATTAATTATTTTACCTAATTGAAAAAAATAGCTTAGCCATAGGGCAACAATGACATAATTGAAGAGGCTCTGCCCTAAAACTTTTAAATAGGGCAAAATTGTTAAATGAAATCAAAAAGCAAACTGAAGGTGAGCTATACATATTACAGAATCTTCAAAAAAATTGAATTCGCCAGAAAATGTATAGTTTATTGTTTTCGTTTTGAGTTGCAGAAGCTCTGGAAACTTTAAAAGCGTTTCCTCGAAATTTTACAAATTTGCACTTATGACCTTGTTTCTCTAGAGGTGCGAATTCTATTTGAATATTATTCTCAATAATGGGGAAACAACTTATCTGGTCATGATGATTTCCATTAATGCATTAAGTTACTGTGATTGGAGCTACTCCTGTCCAGTTTGGAAAATAGTCCGTAGCCGAACGGGGAACCAGCCAAGTATTGCTTCATTTTTCCTTGAGATCGTGTCTTGAATTCTTTCGCTGAAGCACAGGGATCGTATTTCCTGCACCTGCTTCAACATCCCTACGAAGTGTATCCAGTAATATCGATTTTCTTCTCTTGCGATGTTCGATTTGGAAGTCATAATTTTGTAATTTCTCAAATCAACGCGCAATTAGACTCCAGGGTTTTTTGAAATTTAGCCGACACTGCAAGACATAACGGTCGGTCCAACTAGAAATTTGCTTAGACAGAAAAAGGTTGGCAATAATCAATGGATCTCACGCCTGCCACAAAATCCTTTTTGGGTGATACGATAATTTCGGTTCAAAAGTGGCAGGAGCATTAAATAATCCAAACGCCTGTTTCCGGCAATTTCCTTATTTTCCGTATTGGGTTCCACCACGTAACCAGTGCGAGCGGTGAGCAGTGAGGCTTTTATTAAAAAAAATGGTGTTGCTTTGCGAAAGGAAGTCTTCGAGGTGGCGAAGAGGAACTTTCTATGTTGATGCGTGTGTGATATGGGATGTGCTACTAGGTTTGTTCGTCTAGTACCTATTCAATTTAATCATTTTGGTTGGTTCTTGAGGGGTAAAAAATAGCCCATCCATCTGTAACAGTATTTGTTCAATTTTTGGGACCTATATCCTGTTGCCACTTTCAGGTCCTGAAATATCAAATTGCGCCCGCAAATAGGTACCTACTTTGTGGCCCGGTCATACATATATATTTTCTTTTTTCAGTTCATCAATTGCCAAAAAATGCGCCGATCATCATTATCGTTGTTAATTATTTTGACATTAAATATCTTAAGCGTTGTGGCTATTAACGAATGTTGTCCAGAAGAAAATATATTATTTATGTCAAACAAAAGCTGTTTAACCGATAACATAAATGCAACCGGTGTCAGTATAGAAATCAGTTCAGAGTGTCCAACGATACTTTCAATTGAAAATAAATCAACATTTTCAAATGCCCAGTTTAGATTTTTGGATAATGGCACCTTGCTGGATCATAAGGATCGAGAACTGAGGTAAGAAACATTATTTTTCTTTGTTAAAAATCCTGCAATAATATTTTTATAGATATTGCTACTCAAACAATGGAGACCAACCAAATGCCACTAGTCCAATTTATATCTTCTGCTTTGGGAATTCTGATGCTGATGAACCCATTGATAGTAGATTATTAGATATAGTTGAAGGGATCTTGGTCATTATTTCAGCAATTTTTGTAATTTTTACTATAACAATATATTGTATGGTTCCAAAATTACTCGATCTACAGGTACAAATTAATACCTTATAAATATTCAAGAAATATTAATAATACTTATTTGCATTCTAGGGAATATGTATAATGCATGCTTTAGTGGCTTACACAAGTTTTTTTCTTGTTTTGGGAACCCTTAGTCTGGAAGACAACCTTGGTATAGATACTTGCAAAGCATTAGCTTATCTAATGTACTTCTCTTTCTTTTATCTACTTTTGTGGCTATTGGTTTTGTCTTTTCACATTTGGAGAGTTAGTACGTAAGTATACCTAGTTAGTCCAGTAATTAGACAAAATTTTTAAGAATTATTTGCCAACTATAGTCTGTGAATAGAAAGTAAACAATTCTTTTCAGGTGTTATTTTCCTTATGGAAAATATTTCACACTTTTAAGAAGATACTTATGTATTATGTACTCTATTGGAATTGCTAAATCATGACAAATAAAAAGTTATTTTCGACCAGCATACAAACTGTTGAGAGAAATAGCTCTGTCGGGGAGCAGTAACATTGGCTGTTTTTTTTTCCAATAGTCAAAAGAGATATGGCCGAGGGTATGAGACTTTGGTATGGGTATGGGGTATGACCGATCCATCTGTCGAATTATTCGGTTTCGATACACATCAGTGACGTAGTATGAGATAAGATATATTCGCAAGATTGAAACTTTGATTCACAGTCTATAGCTAAAGGGTGTTCCAATAAGAGTATCCGGATGTTTTTTGCAATTTAAACGAGAAGCAGACTAGGAAACATTTAATACGTTATAGCAATAAGTAACATGATCTTTTACAATTATACGTGAAACACAATATCCAACAAATGGTCACCGCGACTTTTCTCACAGCACACGATTCTTTTGCCAAAATTTTCGATCACATTTGTGCACATTTCCGGTGGTATCAGACGATTCATCAATAATGCGCCGAGTGTCATCTTTCAACTCTCGAACTGTTTAGGAATTGGTCACATACGTTTTACTTTTCCAACAAGACGGCGCAAGATGTCACACCGCAAGAGAATCCATTGACTCAAGTCATTGGAATTCAAAGCACGGTTTGAAGGTAAACTTCTTTCAAGAAATGGGGATGTTAATTGGCCGCCTAGATCTTGCGATCTAACGCCAGTAGACGTTTTTTTGTGGGGTTACATCAGAAGTAAAGCGTATGTGAACAATCCCCGAACAATTCAAGAGTTAAAAGATGAGATTTGAAGCATTATTCGTGAGATACCACCGGAAATGTGCACAGATGTGATCGAAAATTTTGGCAAAAGAATTGAGTGCTGTGAGAGAAGTCGCGGTGGCCGTTTGTTGAATATTGTGTTTCACGTATAATATAAACGACCATGTTTCCTAGGTTGTTTTTTGTTTGAATTGAAAAAAAACATACGGAAACTCTTATTAGAGCACCCGATAGTTATACAGGGTGAGTACTAAGTATGGAACGTCTACTTATTGACGTTCTCAATTGAGACGTTCCATACTTAAAACTCAGTATGTAATAAGTGGTGGAAAGATATTATAAGAAATATAGTGGGCACCTGAAATTCTCTATAAAAAAGTAATGTTTTAAATGAAATTCGTCTGCAAATCCTAAACATGGAAAAACGTTTCAGAAAACCAAATCTCTTTCGAGGCTTAATTAAATGGTCACTTCTATACCACATATTCGCCATAGGAGGATCGTTAATGGCTCTAATTATTGTCATTATGGCACATTATTCTCCATCAGAAATATGGGATGATATACGTCCTGGATTTGGTGAAGGAAAATGTTGGTTCAAAAGTAAGTATGTACTTATAGGACCTAATTAATTTTTTTGAAAATGAAATATTTTTTTGTTTTAAGCCTCTCGGGAAACATGGATATATCTTTATGGCCCCCTTATAGCGCTGCTTATTTTTAATACATTTTTTTATTTATGGACAATATCTTTTCTTTGGAATACTGTTGCTACTAGACGAACTAAAATTTTGAAATATAGGTAAAGTTATTGCCAGATTGAGATAGGTGTGTTTCAAATCATATTAAATTTCAGACTAAAATTATGCGCACGGTTGTCTATTATAATGGGTCTTAACTGGATATTGGAAATAATCACATTTGTTGCAGATAATAATGTTACATCATTACCCGGTAGAATTGTTTTGTAAGTATAAGCACGTAGAATATGATGGTTTCCCAAATAATAATTTCCGAATTGATTCCCCAATAGTTAAAATTTATTTTTTGATCTCATGTTACAGCGCAAATTTTTGTAGCTTATGAATTTTGGATACAAGTTTGAGGAGCTTTTGAAATAACATAAAACTCATAAAAGTAACTTTTATGTAAAAAATAATAACTTTTTTAGTCCCATGTTACGTAGATAATTAAAGGACAAAGGATTCTTCCCATATACCTACCCTAATTTTCAAGTACAGACTTACAAATGTTGTGTATTATATTATAACTTTTGCTTATTTTCGGAAAAAAATTACTATCTAGGTATAAGTAATAGATTCAACTTTCAGATTTCTCATCGATCTCTTCAATTTACTGCAAGGCGTTTTGATATTCCTAGTACTGGTGTTATTCAGAAAACGTGTTCGCAGATTACCAGCAAAGAAGAATATTTGCAACATCCCTTTTCCGAACACCTGGAAAAATTTAGAAGATGAAGAAATGGAAAGCGGTGAAGTTTAACTAAACCAATAAAATAAAACAAAAATATAGAATTTAGTGCTAATAATAACTTGAATTAGTTACTGAAATATAACAAATACATATACATATATATACACATATTATATAATCATGCATGTGAAGTTTAACCAAACTTTGGTTTTACTAAAGTAATGTTTTTTCAAGATTCAAGAAATATAATAATTGTTTATCGTGATATTTTACCCCTTACTACTCCATCCCCAATAGGTCCATTATTTCGACCCTTGAGACATATGAAAATCATCAGCTTATATAGACATTATGATTATTAGTAACTAGATATTTATTATTAGTTTTTAGTTTCTCTAATATAGGTAGGTACAGGGTCTGTTCCTTATAATTGGTGATTGGTGCGGCTCCTACAACTTAATCAAAAAAAAGGTAAATACAAAAGTTGGGGGGGTTTATCTCTTTTATCATTTGCACATGTCAAAATGGGCAAATGACAGGTCCCAACTGTCATAATGACAGCACTTGCATTTTTTTAAATGGAACACCCTGTATATTTTTAGCTAGAATGATAGATTTTTTTTTTCTGATTTTAAATACATATACCATATTATGTTGATATTTGGTTCAGCTGTTTTTACGCTATTTATGTTCCAAAATGCATTTACATTACCCTAAATTAGGTCTGTTCCCGGTTTCTTATATCAATGATGAGGCTTGCCAATGCAATTTTAAAATGAAACTAGTAGCTGCCAGGCAATGCAAATAAAATTGTTTGTCATATTACCAGAAGAATTTGTACAATGTAAAATTACTAAAAAAATATTTACTTACACCTTTTTTGGCTTTTTTTTTGTGGTCAATTTCAATTTCTCGAATTTTTTAACTGAAACGAATTATTTGGCAACACTGTCTCTGTGCGAAGACGCGACGAACATGAATGGGGTTCGACTTCGACGTGGGATCAAAGATAAAACGCGCTAAAACTCATGTTCTAGATCGAAATTGAAAAATCCGGCTCCGTTAGGTTCTAGCCAGTATCCCAAACAACAACTATTCCAGATTTGAGAATTCTAGCTGAAGTAATACCGTCAGAATGGCGTAGAAAGACATGTGTAAACTCCATTAGCAAACTATACCGGACTAGTAAGTGAACATTTTACATGCCAATTATAATGTCATAGAATAATGAAATATGATAGCTAGAAACGACGCCTCCCCCCCCCACCCCCCCGCCCCCACACGTATGGCGCCCCTACCGCTCTTGGAAAAAAAAAAAAAATTATAAAATTATGCTGTTTCTTATTTATTTTATTGATCTCGTCACTCTTCATTCTTTATCGTAAGTCAGCATTGTCGGCACATTCAGTTCAATCAAAGGAAAGGTGATAGTTTCTGTTTTGATGATTGATGTGGTATTTGTTTATTAGGTCGGGTGGGGCCAGGCCCTGCGATCTCTCATTGCCAGTTATAAACCACATAATAACTCTTTTCCATTTTTCTAGATGTCGCTGACAAGTGACAACCACAGAATTGTCAAAATTGGAAAATACCGGCACATCAAGAACACGTCCGATGTCGTCGATAACCACAGAATACATATCCTCACGGATAGAAGGCAAACTGCCTAATAAAATTTTGGGGAACAATGCGCCGTCACGGCGCGGTGGATGCGATCCGAACTATTTATAATAAAGGTTTCTGTAATCAATTCAGCTTTCAAAATAAAATCTGTTTTTTTTTTAAAGATAAAAGTCAAAATGACAATATAGTCAACCATCCAAGGACCGTTTTTTTCAGTTATACATGTAAACCCCATACTTTGTGAGTGGCTTGCTTACATCAAGTCCTACAACTTTTCCTCTACGACTTTTCTCGGAAATGGCACGTATGCGCGCAGGCGACTCGCAAACATGTCGATCTGACGTAGCTATGTTTCCTGATACATGTAGGTAAATCTAATTTTACGAATACTGTTTGATTTTTATGTCTAAATCACGGAAATCAACTTGGCCGACAAAAATAATGACAAATTGGGGGAGTCCGATACCCCCAAAATGTCGATCTGACGTGGTTATGTTTCTTGATACATGAAAATCTAATTTCACGAATAATGTTTGATTTTTATTTCTAAATCACGGAAATCAACTTGGCCGACAAAAATAATGGCAAATTGGGGGAGTCCGATACCCCTAAAATGTTTGCGAGTCGCCTGCGCGCATACGTGCCATTTCCGAGAAAAGTCGTAGAGGAAAAGTTGTAGGACTTGATGTAAGCAAGCCACTCACAAAGTATGGGGTTTACATGTATAACTGAAAAAAAAGGTCCTTGGATGGTTGACTATTCTAGAGGTAAATCAGCTAGAATTTCGGGGCAATGGCTTTCGTCATTTCAGTTTTTATAGAAATATCTGGAGTATGTTTATTCTTTATTAACCAATTTGTTTTCATTTGTCATGATAATAATATTTAGATGCCTATGGATTCCCACGTGACTTCAAAGAGATCAACTGAGCCGCCTTTTTTATCAAATTTCAATTAATAATGGTTAAACTTTACAAACAAATACATTCAATTACATACTGATACAAATACATTCAATTACAAAAAAATACATGTAATTGAATGAATTTGTTTGTAATTAGGTGTACAAATTCTATTGAGTGACCTACCCCTCGACAAAAAGAATATAAAAAACGTATACTGAATAAAACTGTTCAGGAACATTAATAAGGAACTTTAATTTGTTTTGTTTTTCAGTCTTATTTTAAATTTAGATTTATGGAGAGGCATCATGTAAGGGCTAGGGCTCTCTACAAAAAATGAACGATTTTATAAGCTTCTGATGTCCCAAAACGAATGATGTATTGCACTTATTTGTAAAATTTATAATATTTTCACTGTCCATAAGAACTAAATGTGTTAGAGAGGGACAGTGAAGAAAATTTTGGTAGAAAATTACTAAAAAGTTTTAAAAAAAATACCGAATAAATGCGATACGCATAGGTTTTGGGACATCAGGGCTAGGACTCTGTAACGAATAGAGAAGACAGCCATAGCGTTAGGGATAACCATCTCTATCCGTTACAGAGTTCCAGCCCAGGATCCTTATTCTTGAAACAGGGAAGTAGCGTTCCCAGGAGAACGAGTGTTCCGTCTTTGTCAACGATATGCAACTGATCATATCGGCGTTAATCTCACAAAGTGACGTATCTCAAAAAAACCCTGATTTGAGATAGGTACATCACTTTGTGAAATTAACGACGATATGCGTAACAAAGACGGAACACTCGTTCTCCTGGGAGCGCTGCTCCCCTGTTTCAAGAATAAGGACCCAGGAGCTCTTAAAATCTGAAATAAAAAATCCAGAGTCGTATTTAAAAAAATTAAAAAGTAAAAAACAGGCTTCACTTCCTTTCATGAGTTTCATGGTGTGGTGTTAAATATAAAATGTGTTTTTTTTTCAAAGATAAAAGTCAGAATGACATTATGTTGGCAAGAAAATGTAAAATTGTCAATGCTTTCAATTTTTTTATGTAGGATAGGCTTGTGTTGCCAACATAGGGTCAAATTACAGTATATTTGCATCTGCAAACTTGCAGTTCTGCAAATATGGCCGACTTGCATTTGTGCGCTATTTGCAGAAACGAGCAAATTACAGAAAAAATCTGCAATTTTGTCATATTTATCGGGAAAAAGTGTTTGGACGCTACTGATTTACCAGTTTTAAATGTCAAAGTTGTCAAAGTGATTGCAAGGACTTGCGGGACCGTTTCACCATGCGCAAATTTGCAGGCGACCTGCAAATGCATTCTGCTTCTGTGATACGAAAATTCAGACTTGCAGGTCCTGCATTTGTATCTTGGTGTTGCAGAGCTTCTGTAATTCCAAATTCCAGGCAGTCACTAAATTTTTGACTTGGGGAATTATCTTTAAAAAAAAAATTATATTGGGGTTAATCGAGATCAGTGGGTTAATCCCGCGATCTCGGGATGTTTTTAATCCCGGGATCTTGAAACGGGATCCCGATCCCGGATAGCGAAAATTGGAAACCCTAGAGAATTGGTCCGGAACTGAATGCACTCGGAGCAAAAAGTGTCAGGCTAGACAGCTCTTCCATTTGTGTGCAGAGCGTGTTGAGCTAAGCCGTAATCATGTGACCAGCGAGCGCACGGAGCAGTTAAACGCTGTATCAAAGCGCCCGATATTTTAATAAACGAATGCGAATGAGCCTGCACCGAGTACACTTTTAAAATAAACGAACCTAAATCCAAGCTCGGAGAACTCGGGGCCCGGATTCCGAACCCACGATTCGATAGTATCGTCCATATAAAATAGATAGACGATAGTATCGAATCGTGGGTTCGGAATTCGGGCCCAGATCAAAATACCGAACGCACGGAATAATTCGCTTTTTGGGCGCTTTCTTTTTTTCACCGATGGATCCATCGATGACCAATTTATCTTTGTCTAGTCGGAATGGCTGTTTCATGAAAATGGATTCAGATGAATCCATTGATCAATGACATGGATCCATCGATGAAAAAAAGAAAGCGCCCTTTCACACAGCCACTGTCAGTTTTGACTTCTGTCGCTGTCACTGTCAAGAGTGTCAAGTCACAGAAAATAAATACGCAAAACAAACTATTTTAAAAACAAAAAAGAATTATTTATGTTTGGAGCATCGTTGAACTTTTTGCCAAATAACCGTTGTTTAAAGTTGTTTTTTTTTTTAAGTTCACTTAACCAAATGAAGAAATTATTGACTTGGCAAAACAGAGGATTTTCAGAGCAAATAAAAAATCTAACCTAAAACAATCATGTTTTCAAAAGTGGCACTTCTTTTAGTTTTTTTCAATACCTATAGCGAATGCACTGTTAGTACAAACTTATACACACCACCACCAATTCTGGTACAAAAATGTTGCAAAGACAATGAAATTTTTATAGGATCATACTGCACCCAAGTAAACGAGACCTATCAGTGGCATCCATTGTTTACTTCCGAGAAAGGATTGACTAATATTCAAGTAGAATACAGGTAAAGTTTAGTTTTTCTAATCAAGCTTTGCTTATATAATAAGGATTTCAAATTTCAATACTATAACCATTATTTTTAGTTTGGTGATAGGTAAACCTGACTGTGGTCATATGCAACTATGGCCAATTTATCATTACCAATCATCGGCGGACAAATTAAGATTATTACCCAACGGTATACTGAGGCATTATTATGACAATCAAATTCCTGATGAATTTGAAATAGATTATGGTGAAGAAAAAGACAAAGTGTACCATGATTATGAATATGGAAAATATTGTTTGGATAAAGTAATAGTTAGGGAGACGACCGCATTTTTCCTACCCCGATCGAGTTATGTGTCGACACTATTGTCAATATATAGTATTATGTGCATCTATTAACCTGTATTCCTGCCTGAGAGCAAATGCTGCCGGAAATATCTTTTAACAAATTATTAAAAAATTGGAAAAAACGTAACACTACCCCCATCGAGTTATGCCTTAAGTAGGGTATCAGATTGAAGGTCTCGATGTCCCCTATCTAAAAAGTCAATCCTGCCTCGTGAGAACTTGCCGGAAAAGGGTGGCAGGGCAGCTTATTGGGGCAAGGGCCCGCGTTCTCAGCTTTGACACCTATCAAGTTTTGGGCTGAATGATGTGTCAATTGAAGGTGTCGATAAGTTGATTTAAGGTCTCTTCGCACAGAAATCCCAAACCAGAAGGAGTGAATTTTATTGTTTAAAACTTGTTTCCTGACTGTTTCCAACCAATGAAATTCGCTCTGACTGGTTTGTCATTTCTGTGCGAACAGACCTTAAATCAACTTATTGACACCTTTAATTTGACACATCATTTAGTGCATAGTTTGATAGGTGTCAAAGCGGAGACCGCGGGCCGTTGCACCAATAAGCTGTCCTGCCACCCTTTTCCGGCAAGTTCTCACGAGGCAGGATCGACTTTTTAGATGGGGACATCGATACCTTCAATCTGATACCCTACTTAGGGCATAACTCGATGGGGGTAGTGTTACGTTTTTTTCAATTAGTTAATAGGGACATAAAGCTACTAGAAATAATTCGCCGGTATCGGTATCGGTATCCGTAACGCAACTAGATACGTTGACAAGCGAAAAGGCTGTTAAAGCGCTCCCTGTTCCGGTAAACGTAAACGCATCTCATAATCTAGACATTTTTTTCTCAAAACTCCGGTGTTTTTATATCTAACCTTAAAATTGTTATTTTTTTTGCGATGAGAAGCACTGAACACACAAGAAACTCAAGAAAGTATATTAAACAAATTAAAAATTTGACACATGCGTCAGGCATGTCAAGATACGTGACCGATACGGATACCGCGAGAGGGCTGTAACGTTACGTTGTACGTACGGTATCTCGGCCTCCGTATCGCTTCTGCGCATGCGCAGTACGATACCGATACGGATACCGAGCAAAAAATACGGCAGCTTTATGTCCCTATTAATTTGTTTAAAGATATTTCCGGCAGCATTTGCTCTCAGGCAGGAATACAGGTTAATAGATGCACATAATACTACATATTGATAATTGTGTCGACACATAACTCGATCGGGGTAGGAAAAATGCGGTCATCTCCCAGACTATAAGTACATAATTACTGACATATTCGATTATTTTATATGCATTAAATTATTTTAGAAAATTCATGGAATGGAAAGTGAATTTGCATGGGTTTGTACTCCGGACCACAAGGAAGATTGGACAACAAATGAATTTTTAATGCACAACATTGTAAATCCTTTGGCTCATGGAATTACAATAATCTGCCTGTTGACAATAGCTATTATTTACTTTGTGATGCCAACTCTACGTGATCTAGCAGGGAATATTATTACAACAATATGCATGTGCCTTATTTTCAGTCAAATTGCAGACTTAGTAAGACTTTTAACCGTTTTTAAGAGTCATATAAGCCTTCTGATCGCAGAAGCAATATGTTATATTAGCCTTTTAGGTGCCTTCTTCTGGTTGAACAGTTTGGGATATTATATTTGGAAAACTTTTAAGTGAGGAACTGAAATTGTTGAATTAATTGAAGTAGTTTTTTTTTAAACTTGACTCTTTTTAGGACAAGAAATGTATTTTTAAGAATCACAGATGGTAAAAAATACTGTTATTATGGATTTTATGCATGGTCTTGCACAATAATTTTGGGATGTTTAGCCATGTTTGCACATTTTACCATGGACTATCCTGACCTTTCTACTGTGAATACATACAACAAGCCAAGAGAGCAAATTGGTTCATTGGGTATGATTATATTTTTTGTTCCAATTGCATTTACTGTATTGGCAGATGTGTTTTTCTTTGCAACTACTATGAAAAAAATTAACAGAATGCACACCTATGGAAGGATTCATCATAAATTAAGACACAGGTAAGTTAAACAGAATAATATAAACTTTGGGCCTTATTCTTGTTTTTTTTTTTTTAGCTTCAGAATGTTCCTGTTACTCCTTTTAACAATGAGTCTCTGCTGGCTGTTTTTCTTGTCTTCTTTTTCAAAATATGAAAGTTTAATTAACAGTCACATTATAGTAAACACATTCCTAGGACCACTTATGTTCTATATTTGTGTTATTAATCAAAAACATGTCTCATATTTATTAAAAAAGGCATGTTGCTATGTGAATTGTATTTGTCCTTGTTGTCGTCCAGAACCAGATAATGAGTGGGGTGATGAGATGACAGCTATGAATAGTGATTATTATGGAGGCGCTACATCAATGAAATTTACACATTAGGCTTTTTAATCATATTATTCTACGAGAATATTAATTTATTATTTAGGCAGCTAACATTTAGATCTGACAGTAGATACTTATTACCTAACTTTTTTTTAGTATTTTTCTGCTTTTAATGATTATTGATAATTTTGAAGCAAATTTATTCCATTTTGGCAGAATAGGTACATATTTCAGTATTCTAAGGACCAAAAGTTGAAATTTTAAATTATTGCTCAAACAACAAACCTACATTTTAGGATATTTATTATTAGATTTTAGCAATTATTTTTTTGATATACAATTTTTTACACCTATGTATGTACTTAATTTTATACACACAATAATATATTTATATTTTATACCACATAATTAAGTATTTGTTTTTATTTGATTGATTTGTATGAAATTTTCGTAGCCGTTTCTTTATCAATCTCTCACACACACACACAGTGTATTTGAAAAAAAGTCTAATGTACCATAAACCACAGCATCAGTCAATCACAGGACAATGATAAGTTAAATTTCCTCAATAATATAAGAAGATAACTACACCTACAGGAGAAATTTGCTGAAATAAGGGTTTATGTTTCTTTTAAAACAGAGGTTACAGAATACTTGGCGACCCCATCCTCAGCATATTACACTCTTTTCATGTCCATAAAAGCAGTAAAGAAATCTTGTTTGGTTTAATTATGGGTTTAATAGCAAAATCAAAAAAAAAAAATATAGAAAAAAATAAACTTAGGGCGGGTATTATAAAACTATTTTGACGGAAAACTAGGAGTTACTGTGCAATTACTATGAAATTCCGGAAGTTAACTAGTTTTCTGTCAACATAATTTGATAATACCCGCCCTTAGAAAGAAGTAAATTAACCAGCGATTCGCAAATTTCGATGGAATATTATTATTTATACAGTGTGATTTTTTAAGTGTGCAACATATGGGGATTTTTTTTAGTAATAGCACAACCCAAATACAAACAAGGCCAAAAGTTGGTGCATGTTTGATAATCATATAAGGTGCACTTAGAATGGTTGCAAGTCAAACAGCATACAGGGTAGCTCAAACAATATCAAAGCTGTACTGTAAAGTACCCTTATTTTAGAAAATTCAGCAAAATGTTATAGAGAAAAGTTGTTATTAAAGTTATGACTAAATTCCAAAACATAGCATCCTGAGATTTTTTTTATTTTCTTTGGAAAAAAATCTATACTTTCTATATTTTTTTTATTTTGTATTTCCGCCATTAATACTTTCAAAAATTAATTAAAACCAAATCAATTTTACATAACTTTGTTCAAATTCAAGCATATTTGTAAAATTAACTTAGATTTTTAACTTTTTATGGAATCACAAAATTCATGTTTGTTGCAATGCAATGATATTCAACACAACTTTAAAATGTCGCAATTTTTTTTTAACAAGTTAAAACATTACTAATGATAATAGCCATATCAAAAAAACTCTCCTTCAAGTGCAAAAGTTTTATTTAATTTAAGTAAATATTAGTAGAATTTTGATATTTTTTGAGCCACCCTGTATGCTGTTTGACTTAATATGATTATCAGACTTGCGCCAACTTTTGGCCTTGTTTGTATTTAGATTGTGCTATTACTTAAAAAAAAAATCCCATATGTTGCACACTTAAGTATTGACACTGTATATGTACTTAAAGGCTTTTTGGTGCTAAACTGAGCGTGGTCGAAGACGCGTGGTGCATATTCCTTACAAAATGTATTATAATAATGTCAAATATAACAATATCAGGCATTTGCAGAATAGTTATTAATTAAATTTTTTTGAAAAATTGAAATGAATCACTTCTGGTTTAAGAACCGACGAACGTTTTTGACGTCATTGATTTGTTTCAATCAATTTCTATTTGTTAAAAAAAGAAGGCAAATAATGTCAAAAGTATGAACCGTCATGAAACAAAGTTTATATTCGGTGGATGGAGATGATTCTCCTAGTTCCAATAGAATTTCCACATTGTGAACAAGTTGTTAAAAATGTAACTGATAATGATATTATTCAAGATATTATTGAAGCAATAAATCATCTAAAAGCTGGCAGGGTTGTTGACCCAGACAATATTGCATATTCCATCATACTCACTGTTTTTTATGTACGTATACACATATACAGGGTGGAATTTTCAAATGGAATAAATTCAGTATCAGAAAGCCTGTTTATTTTGTGGAAAAATTTAAAAAAAAAGAGTCTCTTTATTTTTAGTTTGGTACATTTTTTCGGCCTTTTCGTGGAATTCACCCTTCTCTTAAGGGTAGAAGAAACCACCCGCAACTTTTTTTTTTCAAATGTAAACATATGTATTGTGATAGCTCGTTGGAATGGGCATAAAAAAAGGATAATGACCCATTATTTACTTTTGCATTTCGATGCGAGAAAAAAATTAAAACATATTTTTCCATACAATTTTTTTACAGTTAAAATTGTTGAATATCTTCAGCATTTCTTCTTGGTAGAACCCTTATGCGAAAACAAGCCCCATTTGTAATTATTTCTGACATTAACACACTATTTGATGCCTGATATTCGGATTTTCAACCCTAAAATAGTGCGTTATTGTCAAAAATAATTACATAACTAGATCACCGAAATGCAAAAGGAAATAATGGATCATATTCCTTTTTTCATGCCCATTCCAACGAGCTATCACAATACATATCTTTACATATGAAAAAAAAAGTTGGGGGTGGTTTTTACCCTTAAGAGAGGGGTAAATTCCATGAAAAGGCCTAAAAAATGTGCCAAACTAAAAATATAGGGACCCATTTTTTTTTGTTTTTCCAGAAAGTAAACAGGCTTTCTGATAATAATTTTATTCCATTTGAAAATTCCACCCTGTATTTATCCACCTGCTTCATATATCTTCTTTTTGGAAAATAGAGAAAAGTATGTCCTTATAAGATGAATAAATTCGAAATAATAATAATAATTGCTTTATTTAGACTTCATCTAATTTAGTACAAAACATTTGATCCTATAAATATTACAATACAAGAGATATAATAATTAGTTCACCTAGTAATACTACCGTCTTACAATGTGGAGGTGGAGATCATTGGACAATTCTGAATTAACAGATACAGCACAAATTTTTATTTTTTTTTTATTTTCATTTGCATCATTCTCCCTTCAAGTATTCTTTAAGTCTCCCCTTAAACAATCCAATGGTTGGCAAGTTCTTTATCTCATTGGGCAATGCATTAAAAATTATTAACCCCTTATGGTATACTGCTTTCTCAGAAAGCGATTTATTCTTTTTTGCAACATAAAAATTGTCTCTATTTCTAGTTGCATAGTTATGAATGTCCCCACTGGTGATCAATTTATTTGTCAAATAGTCAGGTGTAATTCCATTTTTTATTTTATAGATAAAGATCATTGTTTGATACTTGACAAACCCTTCAACAGGTAGCCAATCCAATCCATTCAGCAAGTCAACTATACGCGTGTCCCTTCTTTTCTTCAATATTATACGCATAGCTCTATTTTGCAACTTTTGCAGGCGATTCATTTCATTTTTGTTGGCAGTAAATAGTATTGTTGCACTATACACAAAGTGAGGTAAGATCAGGGTATTATATATTGTTATTTTGGTCCATTTTGATAATGATGAGGACACCCTGGACAGAAAATTTACATTTCTTGATATTTTGTCAATGATGTACAGGATATGTTCTTTAAAGTTAAGAGAATTATCGATGATGAACCCCAAATACTTGATTTTCTGTACCACCTCTACACGTTCAGTACCTATTTCTATCTTCAAATCATACTGATTATATTCATGCTGGATCCTGTTACCTCCAATCATAATGAATTTCGTTTTTCCAACATTTAGCTTAAGCATATTGTCATTGAACCACAACTGAATTTGCTGAAGATCCAGATTTATTGCATGCATCAGGCTAACTAGATCTTTTGAAAAAAAATAGATCAATGTATCATCCGCAAATAAGTGTATAGAGCAATTTTGAATCACCGAATCAATATCGTTAATATACAACAAGAACAGTAATGGACCAAGAGTACTTCCTTGGGGGACGCCATAATTGTTTGTTTTTGTTGTTGATATATTGTTCCCAATTTTTGTTATTTGTTTTCTGTTATCCAGGTAATCCACAAACCAATCAAGTACGTCATTCAAAATTCCATAATTTTGCATTTTTTTTATCAATTTACTTCTATCCAGAGTTTCAAACGCGCGCTGTAAGTCCAAAAACACAGCTCCCACAGCATAGTCATCATCAAGAAGATTTTTCCAATCATACAGAATATTTTGTACTGCTGTCTCACAACTATGTCCCTTTCTAAACCCCGACTGACTTGGAATAAGGATTTTATTTGAATTAATATACTCCATCAATTGACTGTATACCACCCTCTCTAGAATCTTTTCAACTGTCGCCAGAAGATTTATTGGTCTAAAATCACCTGCGTTTATAGAACCCCTGATTTTTTGAACTGGAATTATTGTTGATGTTTTTAACAAACATGGTAATTTACCAGTTTCTAAGGAAGTGTTTATTAGATTCAAAAGGGGTTGTTTTATGTTGTGGTATGTTTTTTTAATAAACTCTGCCGTTATATCGTCTGGACTTCCTTTATTGGGCAAGGAGGTAATGATGCTGTTCAACTCATTAAAATCTATCAACCGAAAAGAGGTGAAACAGCCATCACGTTGAGACATTGGAGTGGGGCTAGGGTTATCATCACCCTTGTCTATATGTGAAATTATGGTTTCTATGCTGTTGACAAAATATATATTAAGATTTTCGGCCATATCTGTGGGGTCGGTGATGATTTCAATATTGATTTCTACTTTTCCTATGTTTTTTTTATTTTTATCTATAATAAGTTGACCCAGTGTATCCCACATTTGTTTGGGATTATTCTTTGCCATGTTTATCTTTTTATGGTAAAAAACTTCCTTCTCTTCCCTAATGATTCTTACTACTGCATTTCTACATTGTTTATAATATTCTCTATTTTCTACCGTTTTATTTGACTTGAACGTTTTATAACTATTATCCCTCTTTGTGATGGCATTTTTCACTCTATCGTTAAACCATTCTCTATAGTTCTGTTTAATGGCCCTTTCAGTTTTTGGAGCTACTTTGTTCAGAACATCCAATATGTTATTATAAAAATAAAGATACTTAGCATTTATATCATTAAGATTCGTTTTGTAGTTCCACAAGATATTTGACAATTCAATATTCACCTGTTGGTAATCTATTTTACCTCTTGTACATACAGTTACTTTTTCTGCGTAGGCCTGGTTCAACCCAATGATGGTTTTTACAATA